CATTCCCCTTCGGTCTTGCTATTGCCCTTCTTCACCTGTTTTTTACTCCTCCAATGAAGTTGATTTCTCCATCCATGTGGCACACTCTTGAACTTGACATTCTCTGAGGTTTCTGAAGCAGTTGGGACTTTCAATGAGTTCATGTGGGTCTTATGCTGCCTTTGGACCCTTCTGATCATAGAAGCTCCCATTTCTTTGATGAACCTCATATCCTTTCAAACTATATACCATTTCCGCCAGAGTCGGGTAGGTTTCTTCTTCGTGACCTAGTTCACTGTCTTCCATTTCATTCTAATATCTCCACTGGTATAACTTGGCTGGGGTAGCTTCACATCTACCCATCTTGGTATCTTGGCCTCCATGTCTTCCACTTCTTCAAAAGCTTCGTAATTTCTAAACACTTATGATAAGCCCTTTGGTTGAGAGTCTCATCCCAACCTTTGGAAGACATTCATTGAGGTCTATTTTTCATCTGTCAGCAATATACTTATGTGGGCTTCTAGTTCTTCTTTCTCTCTTCTTTTGATCAACTTTTGATCAATGATGGCTTCTGCTGGTACTTCCAACTCACACTTACATTGGCATTTACTACACAACAACACTAATTTGATTATGGTTGCTTTAGGCTTCTCGGGCAACTTGATAGCTCCTTTAGTTGGCCTTGCCTCATTTATGCCTTCACCTCTCAAGTGGCTTTCCATTTCCCATTCTCGGCCCATGTCAAGTTGATCATGTTTATTGGGCCTTCTGGAAAATGATCAGTATCAACTATCATATTAGCCTACAATTTTGCCAGCAACAACTTTCCTTTGACAATAAGGTCTTATATCCAGTCTCTGAACTAGACACAGTTGGTAATGAAGTTGTTGAAGGTGTAGTGCAGCTTGCAATACTTTTTTCCCCTTAATTCCTCGGGCTTAAGTAGTTTTTTGGTGCTGTCGGGCACAATCACTCTTGCCTGCACCAATTCTTCATAAATCTGTGATGCCTTGGTTAGATCAAAGGAATAACTTTGATACTTGTGGGGTTTCATTGGTACAAATCCATCGTCATTCATAACCATCTTCTAGTCTTTAACCGGCTTGATCAATCATTTCATTATCAAAGGCTTGAAGGGAGTGGTTATCTACGCTGCACACATATCAATTCTATCTCTTCCACAACCATCATTCTCTTTTGGCTCCATCCTTTCGAACTCCATTTGATGAATGACAACCTTGTTTTTGTAGAATGGGGGTGCTTTGGAGGAATGTTTTAATTGCTGTTCCTCGATAAACAATTTCTCATACTTGGTGGCAGCAATCACCAGTTCTTACAACTCATTAAACTGCACATCATAAAACTTCTTCTTTAAGGGCAGCCTCAAGACATTATGAGCAATAGCTATAAGCTGGACATGGTTGATAGGAAACTGGCATCTCATCCTTGTCTTCCTAAACCTCATCATGAAGTTATCGGTATATTCATGCTCGTATTGCTTCACCTCAACCAGATCATTGATGGTCATCTCTGGCTTCATCCTGTAAAACTACTCGTGGAAAGCCATCTCCATTTGCCCCCAGTTAGCAATAGAATTTGGGGGTAAAAGATAATATCATTGAGATGCTAACCCTGTCAATGAATTCCCAAACAACCTTAACTTATAGTTAGAATTATCTTCAAATGCCACACAATAGTTGGAGAACTTGAAGATGTGATCCCTTGAGGACATATTGTTATCTTCTTTGCTGAATGTTGGGAATGCGGGCATCTTGAAGTTAAGAGGAAAATGATTTTGCTCATCAACGAACTCCAGGTAAGGCTTCTGATAGGTGACCCTAAACAGCAGGCGAGCTTGTGGCTGAGGATTTCTCACCACCATCCTTCTTAACTCAGCCAACTCATCTCTGAGTTGCTAATTGGTTGTATTATTAGGTGGGGTGTGAGGAAGTTCCCCCTTCGGGCTACGATCGTTGCCCGAGTTAATCTCATTTCTTGCTTCGGGCTTCATCCATTTGGCCTCTCCTTATTTAGAGGCCAATGGTGGTGGCCTCTAAAGATGAGGCTTGTTTACCTTGGTAGGCTCTCCTTTCCCGCTGGATTCCCCAATCAACTAGGGAATCCCATACTTCATTCTTTCTTGCCCGCTTTGCCATCTACTGTTTAGTGAAAATAGAGGGTCGAGCAATTCTACTTCCATAATTTCTTCCAACACCAGCTGAATAATTATAGATCCTTCCTTGTTCTTTCCTTTATTCCCTTTTTCCTCAAGTAAAGGAAACATAGGAATACTTGCTCCATCACATGGCTGGCTTCTTTCATTATCTCTCTAGTACAATTATTTTATGGGGTATAGTACACTAGATCTAGCCTTCTTTGCAGATTCCCTGTTAGGAACAGAGTCTGCTTACTTCCCCTCTGGTTTCTAGAGAGACACATCTACCATGGTAGCCTGCAGGTCTTCATTTGTGACCTTTGCTCCTGATTTCTCAGAAGGCATCGGGCTTTCCATCAAGACAAGTCCTTGTAGATCTTTGAGAAGATTAGCCATGTTTGATCTTAGTATATACTGGGGTGGTTTTTGTTCTGTTTTCCACCTGAAGGTTTGCTCTTTCCTTCGTCTTTTTGGCATACAAGACTTGTGGTCCCACTGAGCGTGGCAAAAGTATGTTTGGGCAAGAATTTCGTTGGAGATGATCCATGGTTCGAGCACGCAACTCCCCGAGGAGTTGGTACTTTGGTTGGTTGTCGGGCTCTTGCTTGTTGAGAGACTGCAAAAGGATGACATGGTTAGTTCTGAAAGGTGCCTTTGTATGGCCTTAGGTGTAGGCCTTGAGGCTCGCAATCAAAACTAACTAAGTGCTTAGACGTGCCACTACCATCTCAGTATGGCAGATGTAGAACAAGTGTATTTAAGTCGATTAATTGCGCCCCAAGTTATTCTAACTTCTTGTTATCAAAAGATTGTCATATATGGGTTAAGTATACATTAAGTTATTTTCTGTGCCTTGAGATCAAGGACTTTTAGTTCGTTATCTTGTATGCTTTTAAAGGGTGGAAGTTCAGATCTGACTAAGCCATCGGTTTAGTTCCCATTCAGTTTTTTATGATAGTAAAACCACTAAGTGAACCAGATCTGAGAATTAATGGAACTTTTTATCATTAAATGACTAGAAATGACTTGAATACATACTGGAGAACACATCATAATACCATATCTATTAATTGAAAGACAAGACAAAGAGAGTCGGGCAAGATTTCACCTTGTCGGGCAAGGTTGAACATCTTGCAGCCTCTTTTCTTTGTGATTACAGAGGGTCATGTGCTAAAAATGGACAGATGGTAAACAAGTTTTCATGAGGGGATCGATACTATGGCCTCTAAAGAAGGTAGCAGAGCTTTTACACTAGACAAAAGATGTTCTCCTAAGGGAACTATTGCTAAACAGGGTTTGGAAGTTACGAACTGGCTTGAGAGCAGAGTTTGTATGCTTGTTTGTTTGATTGGTTAAGTGTCCTTGTCTCTAGGCCCTGTCTTCCCTTTTATAGGCATTTTGTCTTGGCTGTTGCAGGCCTTACCTTAAAGCACTTCAGTGAGTCATCATCTTTTTTACATGTCCTTCCATTAGAAAGTGTCTTTGGGCTGAGAGTAGGTTGATTTCCATCATTTGTCACTTCTCTTGTAAGCACATAGCCTTTGCATTAATGAGGAGCCGTCATATTGTCTTGAGATGGATGGCTGGGCTTGGTGTTGGGCCTCGGGCAAGTCTCCTCATGTTAGTTCTTTTGGGCTTTCTTTCCTTTAAGTCCAAAGTTCAAATATTAACCCAAACAAGAGGGTTTGAGATGGAGCTCCATTAAATTATGGAGGGTTGCTCCAAAACAATGGGTGAAGAGATGGAGAAGGGGGAGGCGCGGGATAAGGCATGAAGGAGAAAAAAATTGTAGAGAAAAGGATTGCCGCCGACCCCAAACCCTGTCAAAGGGCCAACAACTAGAGGAGAAAAGGTTTTAGTTTTTTTTTGGGTTGCAAATTACCTACTACCTAAATATTTATGTACCCTATTTTTTTTTTTGGAAAAATACGTATGTGCGCCTTTTGACCTATAGTTAAGCTTGTTAAAATTAATTAGTACTCATTCTTGTCGATCTCTATGCTATTCTTTAATAAAACCAGAATTTGTCAACTGAAATTCGTAAATTGTTAATTATGCTCCTCTCAATCTTTGAAGTTTTAGTCGTTGAATTTCAGCTCTCATTATCTCTCTTCTATAACATACATTTTCTTGGTAATTTACATGTTCATGTTTCTCGTTCACATGAAATATCTGAAAAGGAAAAGAGGAGAAAAAAAGAAGAAGAGAGTCTTGGTGTTGTGGCATATTTCAACTCCTACTCCAGTACAGGTGTTGGACGCATGCATAGAAGTGCAGTGCTCAATCTGCACGAAGAATTTCATAAGTTTCTTAAAAACAATAAAAAGGGATAAAAATAGAAAACTTTGTACAAAATAAATAAAGAAAAGAAAAAGTTAACATATGATCTCATAAACAATGCATGTTGTTCAAGTCATTCAATCTAATGTAATGGACAATATTGTCCTCTTAAATATCTTGACAAAACAAAACTTCATAAATATAGGAAATTAATTCTTGCGCACAAGTTTTTTCAAATTTTGTACACTTTTGTTTTTCTCTTCACGTACACGTCTATTTGTTTTTAGCTTTAGATCGACCAAAACAAAAAATAATCGACATAAATAAATATAGATGTTCAAGAAAAAGAAAAGTGTGCTTAAATAGTTTTCTCAAATCCAAAAAAAATCCAGAACAAGAAGTCCAAATAAATGCGTAAAAATGTATGTACAGAAATCACTTTTATGAAATTGATCATTTTTCTCTCAATAAAAATACTCACAGATTTGATTCCAAAACAAATCTCAAACCTTAATTATTTAATGGCCCCACATACCCCACCGAAAAGAGGATGCTTTTGTTCTTATTTAGTCAACTCATTCTTTTATATGCATAACCTCATCAAAACCTCTCCCTACTCTATGCTCCTCACGCCTTCCACACCCCTCACCCCAACACAACCACATGGCTCAAGATCATGAACTCCACCGCCAAAGCCAGCCGCTTATACCACGCGGGTTCCCCATCCGGCGCCGGAAACTCCCTTTGGTCCGTCTTGGTGGGCCAAAGCCGAGGCCAGGCGTTGTGTTTGCTAGAATGCTTAAGAAGATCAGACTAAGGTGGCTGAAACTTCACTACTTGTGCATATTGAAGAAGCTCAAGAAGTCTTACAGGAACACGGTCAAGGACCTCATGGAAGCTGGGGCGAGCTTGGAGATCTTCCACCAGAGGGTTTTCATGGAGAGTACATTTGCTATTCCAATGGGAGTTTCTCTCTCTAGCTACCCTTCTGTTGCTGGATCAGATCGGCCTCGAACCCTTTTCATGTAGATGTACCTCTTTAATCTTATCAAATATCATCAAGCTTCAGCACATGCAGTTCATGTAGATCTTACCCTTTTGTTGTTTCTGTTTGTCGTTTGAAAAATAATTTGTTATTTTATTTTGTTGAATTAATCTCTACCTCTGTATTAAGAGTAACAAATTGATGAAAATGTATAGTTTATTTCGGTTTTAATTTGGAGGGATTGTTTGTGTGCAATGGATCTTAATTTTCATGTTGTCTCTTGCATGCGACTTTTTTAATTTGCAATCAAACATATATCAACATTGTTTTTTATTTCTGGCAATATACAATAATATATACCAAAATATTAGTCTCGAGAGTACATCGATCTTATATAAGAGAAATGCTAGGTAGCTAAATTTATGGATTAAATTTGCAAACTAAATGTTGTATCATCAATAAAAAATAAGCACGTTAATCAACATTTAATAATTCAATCATCAACTTCATGTCATTTAATTTACAAAACTTAGCCTACATTTAGTAGCTCCCTAGCATTACTCGAAAAGAAAAACCATATATTACATAAGGGCAATGCTAGGTAGATCAAAATTTTAAACCAAATATTGTAAACTAAATTATGTGGTTGTTGATGATTGGATTATTATTTAAGTGTTGATTAGCGTGATTATTTCTTATTGGTACCACATTATTTAGTTTATAAATTTTGTTTAAAAAATTGGTTTACCTAGCATTACCCATCATAGAATGGATCTTTGTTCTACGGAACTATTTTGTGTCAGAGATAAAATCCCTAGTTAATACAATCATAAATAAACCAATTTTGCAGTATCAACAGTTGTACACAATTATATGTATATTTCTCCTCATGATCAGTGTACATTTATATATATTTCTTATTACGTAATTATATATCTTTCTTATTACGTGATTATAGAATTTTATAGTGAAATAATTGCACCGAAGAACTTTTAGGCGGTGCATACAAATTTCGGCATAAGTAGACCATCTTCAAAGGAGATGTCAAATTTTAAACATAAAGCTAAATTTGACAACTTATGTTGCACTTTGATATCTTTTAAAGTTTTACTCTCTATCCGATATATCAAATTTTAAACATAAAATAAAATTTCATATTTTTTTTCTTTGCATTGGTCGTACCCAGTGCACAAGGCTCCCGCTTTACGCAAGGTCTGGGAGAGGTGAATGTCGGCCTTGCATTGGTAATGAAAGAAAATGAATTAAAAGGTATAAAAGTATTTAAGCATTGCATTGGTAATAAAAAGAAATTAAAAGGCAAGGCTTTAAACTAATAAAAATTAAAAATAAGCATTTAATAATTAATTAAAAAAATTGAAGCTGCTGTCAAATTTGGCAGCAATGTCATTCGATGTCATGTCACATCAAATTTGACTTCTCAATTGAAAAACATTACTGCTATCTTTTTTTACCGTTATTGAGTAATTGAACATTTTAACATCTATTTTGGAGATACTCTTAGTTAAAAGTTACTTACACATACAACATCGCATTGCCGAGTTTGGAGTTACTTTATGTTATTATTTAATGTACATTGGAAGGAGAAGATCTTAGTTATTACGTCTGTGGCGCCTGATCACAATTCAACTTATATTATATGCACCTTTAAATCGGGCTTAAATCAATGAAGTAAAATAACTCCTTTACAAATCACTAAGAACTTTGGGAGGTACACCCTGACTGGTTTGGGAATCAAAACATTTAAGCAGAGCATCTGCACAAGATTCTTTGTTATATATCATTCGAAGTTGACATTTCATCATAAATTTTATTGACAATATAGAGACTAATCCAACTATTTATAAGTGTATGTAATGTCTCTATTTTTTCTGTTGTGAGATTTATTCTCAACACATTCCATCACGTGTGGGAATTTTCGAGCCTAAAACATAAACAACACAGATTTGGTACATGAGCACGGTGATCATTGGCTTTACACATGGTACAATCTGCTCTGATACTATAAAAAATTTGAGATTCTACCATATCACCGATTGACAATATAAAAAGTAATTCAATTACTTATAAGCACATGCAGTGTCTTTTATTTTCCTGACATGAAATTCACCCTCAACATATTTCTTATATATACGAGATGGGAGATAAACACAGAATGATAGAGGACCGGTTCCACCAAGCACATACTCCGACCATCTACGCAACGAGCGGAAATTGATGTTAGCTTGAAAGTAGGGGCAAGTTATCTTAGGAAGCCAGAAAGTAATAACCTTGCTGATAGAGAACTGTTGATAAATAAAGATAACTGACAGATTAAGAAAGCATGCAAGAGATGTGTAATACTACATATATGACGGTGAAATTAGATTGGTATATATCTAGTGCTCAAATAGCAGGATGAGATGGGATCCAATGACTTCTTCAATAATTTTCATCTTCCTCGATGAATTATTGAAGTGCAACTCGCAATAGCTAGCACATTGTATGCTTTTGTCTGTCTGAAATGATAATATATGCTTTTGGTCTTGTACTTTGTGTTCTGTATATCTGCTTGATCTTGCTTAGCAGATCTCCATTAGTTCCTGAATTTTATCAAACTAAACCACGACTAGAAAATTTCAATCCAAAACCTAATTAAATTATATATCTGACAATTGTTGTAAAATTATATTAAATTAGTCTGTGCCTCTGTGCAATTTTGCTTATTTGATTGGAATACCACTTGGTGCTGGATTTCATTTTCGTTTATGTTTTGTTTGACAGTTGGGAGTTTAGTACACAAAGACCAAAATATATTGAAAACTCTGTATTAAAATACATTAAGCAATTGATTCCGAACGATATTTATATTCTACATTAAACAAACTAAGGGGAGAGAAATATTTGAAGCCGAACTACAATGGATTGAAGAAAAAGCCCTATCACAAGTGGTGGCATTAATATTGAAGAGAACTTACCATTTGCATGTCCAACAGGTGTGACCTCATATGACACACAAAGCTGTCATGAGATTCCAACGTTTGCTCGCATTGCATGTCTACCTAGCTATAGCTTTGAGCCACTTCTCTTCTTTTAGCCGCTCTCCACCTGAGTTCAGTTCCAATCAGTTCGGTATTTTTTTAAAAGAAAAATTAATAAAAAGAGTTTGAAAACTTTGAGTTTTAACGAAAATGACAAAATACAGGGTAAAGTGAATGGTATCAGGATTGACTTTTTAGTGTAAAAATGTGGTTTTTCGTTAAAGTGAACAGTACGGGAAACTTTTCGTTAAAGTTCCCTTTTTTAAAATCAAACCAAAATTATTATTCAATTTAGTTTGGTTTGGTTTTTTTTTTGATCTGTTGTTCGGTTGGATTTATTTTCGATTCAATTTTTTCTATTTGGTTTCAGTTCGATTTTTTTTAATGGAAAATAAATAGATTGGTGGCGGGAAGTTAAAGCACTATCTAAACGTCTCTTGTATGCAAAAGTGAACAAATGTGGTATTTGCATTGACCAAGCAGCATCTTCAAGAGAACTGGAAAAAAGGGGAGGGGTGAGGACCTTGAGAGAGCATCATATTTGGATATCTAAACAAAAAATAGTTGAACTAATTCCGGGAAATGATGTTGTTTGGGTTAATATTTAACTTTGGATTTAAAGGGAAGAAAGCCCAAAAGAGCTCAATAGAGGAGATTTTGCCCGAGGCCCAGAGTCATGCCCAGATACCTGTCTCATGACCATATGACGGCTCCCCATTAAATTCAAAGGTTAGGTGCTTACAAGGGAAGCGACAACCGATGGAAATCAACCAACTGTCGGCCCAAAAGCACTTTTCCGAATGGCAGAACATGTAAAAATGTTGATGACTCACTACCCTCCAGTTGCTTTCAGGCAAAAGCAGAAGAAGCACAGTCGGGCTAATTCACCTATAAATAGGGGAAGAGGGCCCAGAGACAAAGACACTCAACCAAACAAACAAACATACAACTTGCCTCTCAGTCAAGCAAATATCCAAAAAGCTGTGCTTTGTCAAGATTTTGCACCCTTTTAGCTTTAGACTTCCTTTAGAAAGACATCTTTTGTCTATGTAAAAGCTATGCTACCTTGTTCAAATGTTGTGGTATCGATTCTCTTGTGTAAACCCATTTACCTTTCATCCCTCTTTTAGTATCTAACCCTTTAGAACTACAACAAAGAAATTGCACGACGTTCAACCTTGCCCGACAAGGTGAAAGGTTGCCGCCTCTCTTTGTTTTGTCTTTCAATTAATAGATCTATTGTTATAATGTATTCCCCAGTACATATTCAAGTCATTTCTAGTCTTTTGGTGATCCAAAGTTCCATCATTTCTCAGATCTGGTTCATTTAGTGGTTCTATGGTCACAAGAAGATTAAAAGTAATTAAAACTGATGACTTGATCAGATCTTGATCTCTGCCCTTTAAGCATACAAGATAAAGAACTAAAAGTCCTTGATCTCAAGGCACAAAAAAGAACTTAATGTAGATTTAACCCATCTACGACAATCCTTTGATAACAAGAAGTCAGAATAACTTGGGGCGCAAATAATTGGCTTAAATACACTTGTTCTACATCTGCTATATAGAGATGGCAGTGGCACGCCTTAGCACTTAGTTAGTTTTGATTGCGAGCCTCAAGACCTACACTTAAGGCCCCACAAAGGCACATTTCAGAACTAAATTTGTCCTTCTCTTGTAGCATCTCAACAAGCCGGAGCCCAACAATCAACCAAAATGCCAACTCCTCGGGGAGTTGTGTACTTGAGTCAGGGACCCCTCCCCGTGAGATTTCCTGCCCGAACAGATGCATTACCCGTACATTAATTAGAGGTAACGCTACACTGAGTAAGCGCCAATTTTGGCTATCTAAAAACTGGCGGAGTTTTTGTTTTATCCAAGCCAATGCAAAATGTATGTAAATGTGATTCCACACGCTCTTGAAGGTGTCAAACCTCCTAAACTGCAAGTAGGAATCAAGACTCGAGGTTAAGCAGATCATGTGGAAACAGGAAAAGAGGCAGAGAAACAGAAGGCTGCAAAGGTGGGATGAGTGTTGTGAAAGTGGTCATGGTCACGGTTTCACTTGTTCAGATTATGAAATTTTTGCATTAGCAGCTGCAGTAGAGGCTATTTGGGCACAAAAGGAA